AGTCTTTATCTGCTACGAAACGAACAGTACTATGGAAGATTAAAGTAACCCTTCTAGTGACTTTCATAACAAACATTTTTGCAAATGTACTACACCTCACACATGCGCATATTTGAAATTGCTACAGAAAAAAAAAAATCCAGAACTGCGTCTCGACTGCAATAAAGCACGGGCAGACGAGGAAAGAAGACGAAAGTCTACGCTCCAGAAATCCAAACGTAAAAAATTTGAATTTTGTTCGTTATTTTTGTTTGGAGAATAAGTTATCAAGAGAAGTAAAATCTGTAGTCCAGATTGAATGGTACCCTTTTGGGAGTGAAATATGGAGGAAGTTTTGTCTTTCAGTTCCAACATGGCTAAAATATCGTCGCCCTCCAACATATACTGAATAAATATGCACATTTAGTAAGTAGGGCAAAATTTAATGAAACTAAATCGTAAAAAGATCATTTGTAAAAGTAATAATTTCTCCTTTCACTGGTATACGACAGGTTGCGCAATGATTGTCGCATCCATTCGGACCAAAGCCTGTCCAATGTTCCATTTTTCTTGCATCAGTGCATCGTAGCGCTTCTGCAGCTCGCTCTCACGTTTTTCCTAAAAATTGTAAAACAGCTATAAGCAAGCACATGGCACCGTCTGATGAAAATTTTTAGATTTACGTTAAAGATAGGATATCAAAGTTGCAAAAATGAAGGCAAACCTGCAGCGAGACTTCCTCGATCAGTTTGTTGAGTCGTTTTCTGACTGCTTTTTCCTCATTTTTCTCCAGCAGTTCAAAAGTTGCTTTTTCACGCTTACAAGCCTCCAATTCGGCTCGAGTTTCTTCAATCAGTTTTGCAATATGCTGGCCAATGCTCTGAAAAAGTGCCACTTTTAACTAATTTAAAATCAAAAACGTGATAACAATTTACATAATAATCAACTACAGATTTCTTATGATTCCAGTTGCCTTCCAAAGAATTTAAAACACCATTTTTATCCGGCTTTTTTAACGAGTGGAAAGGTACAAA